AAAGAAAAATTATTATTAGTCAAATTATTTCGTTGATTTAATGAATTAATTTAATTAGTTGAAATAAAGGTCATTTTCCTTTCCTCTGTTTCTCTCAAAATACACATGCTATTGAAGTTAAAAACTTGGATCACTATGCTTTCGAATACTATGTTTGAGCGAATGGGGCGTAGTGGCAATGCCATTCGACCCGGTGTTCACCTCACTCCACCAAGGCACCAATCCTTGACCCTCTGCTTTACCCCCTGCTCGCCCCTTGAGTAAAAATTTAAAAAATAATTGACACTTTCGAGATAAATAAATAAATAAATAAATAAATAAGATTGCTTTAAGGGTAATTCGCCCAAACTTGGCTTGCAAACTTTATTGTTTTATACAATTTAATCTTTCCTACATCCAAAATAGCATCCATACTAGTTAAAAATATTTAGTACGGATCAAGAAAAAATCTTGAACTATACCTTCTATACTCTCTATAGAATTGAAAATCAACTCTGTTCTTTCTTATATCTGAGAGTCACACTACTAATAATTCTTATATATAAGGAATCTGAAAATTCCAGCCTAGAAAAAAAAAGAAAAGAATAACCTAAGAAATTAAACTGAATAGCTCCACAATGACACATCAGCGTTATCTAATTCGAAGTCATCTCCTCTGTCTAAGCAGTGAGGCGGTGGCAGCATCATCCCGATCGCCATGTCCGTCATCAGCCCCGGCATCCCAAAAACCGCCTCCTCATCCATGTAAAACACATCTTCCGTCACTCCACTTGATCCCACCTCCGCACTCTCCACCGGCTTCATCTCATCTCCCGAGTTCCCTTCAGGCCGGAAAGCCTCCGCCGCTTCCGCTGCAGTCTTTTGAATATCCTTTGCGTCACTGGACGCCGGCACCGGCAACCGCCATGCCGAGTCCGCGAAATTAAGGCACGCCGATTTTCCCCTCAACGCCAACGCCGCCACATCGTGCGCCCTCGCCGCCATATCCGCAGTCGGAAAAGTCCCCAACCAAATTCTCGACTTCTTATTCGGCTCCCTCACCTCGCACACCCACTTCCCAGTATTCCTCCTCCTCACACCCCGGTACACCGGATGCCTAGTCTCCCGAAATTTCTTCCTTCCCGCTCGCTTCTTCGGGTAGCTCGAAGCCAACAACACCTCCTCATCAGAAAAATTCGCCCGCCGAGAACTGCTACTCTCAGACATGGGTGATGAAACAGAGTACTGAGAAAAATTCTCCATGTGAAAAAAATCAAGAATCAAGAAAATAGACAGTGAAGTGAAGTGAAGTGAAGTAAAGTAAGCTGAGTACTTGAATATGAACTTGGTACAATTTTTTGCTCTTTTTAGTTATGTAAAATGTAGGGAGTTGGGTTTTATATACGAGGGCGAGTTTTTTTTTTAAAGCAGACGCGAACACGGGTTTGCAAGGAGGGGACAGGCTGGAGACGAAAGAGCCACGTTTTTAGCATAAGATATTCGAGAGGGAACGGGTAATGGCCAGCTGTATCAGTTCAGTTGATGACATGTCAGGGGATTTGACTCTTTCGTTGATTGAATTTTTTTATTTTTGTTATTATTTTATTGGGGATGGGAATGAGCCTGGAAGATCTGCCCGTCAAAGTCCAACCGTCAATGTCAGATTTTTGTCTTTTTATTCTGCCAGGTGTCTATTTTTTATTTAATTCTCTTTTTTTAATACTCCGATATAAAAACTTTATTTAATATGATATTATATATAATTTATTATTTTTTCATTTTAAAAATACTCTTGTGTTGAGGATCACGTTGTGGTTTAATAACTACTAATTTATTATAGATATTTTTTTATATTAATTTAAAGTATGAGGTTTCGAGTCATATTTTTAATGTTAAAAAAAAAAACTCTTGTATCTTTATTTTCTTGGCAACGGTAAAATGGAAATGGGGATAGGAGAAAATCACAAAATTTTAATAATTAAAAAATTAAAAATATAATAAAAATTTAAATGGTCTTAATAATTAAGGAAAAGTAATTAAACTTCAATTTTATTTTATCAAAATAAAAAATTTCTTTGATTCCTCTTAAATCAAATAAGTTGTAAAAGTATTTAAATAATTTTATAGGTAACTTTCACTTTTCTAAATACTTAAATGTCATGATTTTCTACTTTTATCAATTGAAATAATAGTTTTCTATGTATTTTTAAAATAAAAATTAAGACAACTAATTTAGACTACTTTTTAATAAAAATAAAAATTGAAACAACTTATTTA